CCTGGGTAAAAATATCACATAAGTTAACATTAGGACGAGTTGGTCCTTTATTTTCGGTCAGATGACCTCTTCCAAGGGTTTGGTGTCGTTCAGAGAGACAGTTTCGAGCAATGTGGCCTCTTTCACCACAATTGTAACATAAAATACCACCATTGTTGGCTTGCCGATGTTGGTGAGGCCTATTTTGATTATTCTGGGGCTGGACAGGATGGCTTTCGATTCTAGTGACAAGGTCGGTGGTCAATTTTTCATAATTTGTAGTCATCTGTTGCATTTTTTGTGATAACTGGTTAATAAGTCTTCCAGTGAGTTCTTCTTTTTCTTTTCTATTTTGGTAGTAGTTGCCAGCCTCGACTTTTCTTACCACGGTAATCGCATCTTCTAATGTTTCTGGGTCACTTATAGATATGATTGCCACAATTTTTCCATGAAGGCCCCCTAAAAACATTCTAATAACGTAAGTATTAGGCAACTTATTATCCGTGTCAACTCTTTTCAACAATCTTTTAAACTGATATGCGTATCTATCAACTTTTTCAATTTTTTTTTGTGCCAACGTATTTAACTCAATTTGCCACTAGTGCCTTTGCTCTGGGGTGGCAAAATATTTGATAAACAATTAGACAAAGCTATTTTTTGAGTGTTCTTCATCATTCCAGAAAAGAAAGTCTTTCTTATTATCTTTATACCAGCTTGCCGCAATGCCCGATAAATGGCCAGATGCAATCTTGATTTTTCTTCTTAAAGTCCAATTATTAGCATCCGCAGCTCTCTCAAACGCTTTGACCCATTCCGCAGGATCTTTATCATCATCATCTTTAAAAGTTCTCACGTAGACCCAGTTATTTTCACGTTCACTTGGCTAAACATCATACATTGCTACATCCCGGAAGGCTTGAGCTATGTCTCTAAAAAGCTTGTGCGCTTGGTTTTGGTTAGCTTGCTCATTACGTTCATCAGGCCTATCTTCTTCAATAATTCCATCGTCTATAAGTGGTCTTAAATCCTCCATATTTCGTAATTGATTTTGTTTGATTTAGAAATGGTTATTATTATTATTATTATTTTTTTGATTTAGGTTGTAATAAGGGGTGATTATATGGGTAGTATAGGGAAGTTCAATCTCACAGTCACCACCAAATGAAAAAGGGTAAGTAAGTGTGGAAAGCGTCAGAAAATTTGCTGAACAATAATAACTCACTACTCAAAACTACTAATAATAATTTAAATACTAGAGCACTAAAATTAATTTAACCAGACCCTAATATTGGTAAGACAACGATTGAGGTGTGGAAAGACTTGGTCTGAGTAACTAGGGCAGATTGATTAAGCAAAGATAGTGTTGAACTTGGATAAGTATTCCTTTATTTTCTTGATACTAGTCCTATTATTCTTAGTACTTTCGCTAATACTATGATTTCTTCTCTCGTAAGTACTATGACGGGGTCCCGTAATCAAAATTAGCCAATCGAAAATGTGGTACAAGGTCACAGTATCACAGGATCGTCAATACGGTATAATGACGTTGATCACTAACTTAATCAGGGTCGATTTTATTATATAAGTATTTGTATAACTAATACAATTCTTTCTTTTTGCTAATTACAACAATGCGATTTACGACGGTCACAGGGTTAAGAAAAATATGAAATCGATGAATGATTTTTAATACAAGGAAACAACAGTTCAAAGACAAACACTTCTACTCTTATTTCAAAGGTTTTCTTAGGACTTATTCAATTGAACTTTGGAAAGTTAATTTTTATTCAAGCGAAAAAGGCGGGCCTTTTATATCTTTTACATGCTTACAAGTTTAGAATGAATATATTCACTATATTAACTATGTCCAACATGTCTACCATGTTCCTATGTTAACTATGTAAACTATGTTTACTATGTCAAATTTGTATACTATGTGCGCTATGTACACTATGTCGAACATATCAACCATAATGAATATTTTTTCCATCTAAGGTAATGATCGATTTCCGCTTACTACTTTTTAGAAAAGTTATTGAGCAAATACTAACTGGTTTTCTTCTATCGAGCTATCTATAAAGGGGAAATAGTTCAAAAAAAAAAATAGAATAGAGTAACATATAGTAATAATAATAATAGACTAACAAAAAAAATATATATATCACGGAATAATCAAGAAAAAAAAAAATTTATATTGGACCCGTCACCAAAGAGCCTGTCACAATATGCTGCAATAACTAAATCAAAATTTCCATTTAAAAAAAGTGCAATAAGTGAAATTTGAACAGAACCAAAATTACACTGATGATCAGGACCTCCATCTGTATAAACTATAACTATTTCTGGCAATGAATTAGCATTAAAATAGTATTGCTCTATTGAATCATAAAATTCAGTAGCATGTCTAAGAGCAGAGCTAGCCTGAAATATTGTATTTTTTAATGAAACATAAACTTGTCTAGCATAAAATGATTGAATTGGATCATCTGGAATTTTAACAAACAAAGATACAGAAGGAGTAATTGAGAGTTTTGTAAAATCATGATCTGCTGCTGAAAGTTCTATTTTTGTTGATGTTGCCATTTTTTTATTTCGAACTCCAGTACTAGTTGGTACTAATTCACCTATTGGTATTTTATATTTATCATCTGCAAAAATAAGGCAAGTATATTTTTTATATTTTGATGCAAAATGCTGAATATATTTAAAATTGCTTGACAATAGTGAGCATCAACATGAGTTTTTCTTAATTGTCAAGTTTGCTCCATATATTTAATTTGAAATCGACCTATATATATTGTGCACTTGCTTTATACCAAGGATTCTTTGGACAAAACTGATAAGAAATCCACTGATCAGATAGTATTAAATGATTATCAGAAAGAGGATGTTCCTTATATTTATTTTCTAATCGTTCAATAATTGATTCTCTTAAATCATGAACAGAAATAAAACTTGGCAAATAAAGCATATTATTATGATGTCTATCATTTACAGATAAAAGATTTTCTTCAAAATAACATGCCATTTCATTCCAAATTCATCAAATTTAGTTCCTTTAAATCCATTATTTATCCGCATATCTATAATAATTTCTGGATCTCCAATTTCAAGCATTATTTTTACTCTTTGATTTATTTCAGCAGAATGTAAATTATCTATTGCACCTGAATCTCTAACTAAATCATAGTAGAGATAGCGTAATATACTTGGAGTAACTTTTGTTATTAGTGAATACTATTTATAAATTAAATAATATTTAGTATATTATAATTAAAATTAATAAAATATATAAATAAAATGGTTTTATAATTTAGCGCATATGCGTTGTAATGCACTCCTCTGATCGACTAATCAGATTGTAGGATCAGGTGTACCGTGAAATCATAAAAAATAGTAATATTTTGAAAAAATGCCTGTAACTCATAATTTTGCTTATGAAACCACCTTTTGTGCTCTAACAAAAAAAATTCCTTGCAAAATTTTGGATATAACTAACATTTATTTACAATTTAATCTAACCTTATATTAGTGCTATCCCTTACCCTAAATTAATGCGTTGCTGGTTTGTTTTGATTTCACATTACACCGGATCTTATAGGATGCGTCACAATGCACATGCGCTAAATTATAAAACGGCATTCTTTTTTGTACATCATTTTCGTGTAACCTTATGTACATCAGATCTTGTCAGCCAATGAAATCGCAAGATA